TATCTTGTGTGCTTCTCTAAAATGCCCAAGACAAATATTTGCTGCCTCCAGAAACTTTTCTTGAAGACTATCCATGGACTGGTTCCTGCCACGGCAAGATTGTGTTCCTATGGAACGATTTCAAAGAGATGGGAAATAAGTGTAGCTCTTTCCATATTCAAAAAAGATAAGGTGGATTGAAATAATCTTTGGGATAACACCTGTTAAGGATGTGTGTGTCAAGAGAGAGTGTCTGCTAATTATATAGAGAGTATGTACTCCCAGATTATTTTTTTAAAATGGTGAACATCAAATAATGGAGTCTATTATAATGTGCAGGTGCATTGCCTTTCTTTTATTAGTCTAAGTTTGGTCATGACTGTTATAGAACTTTGAATCGATTTAGCAAAGGGAACCATGATTGCTAGTTACTAGAGCAAAGAATTGCACTCACCACAAATAGTCAGGTCATAAAATGAGTCCTTAGTTTTAAATCTTTAGGGGGCACTTCTACAGAAACACTTGTACCTACCAGGAAGAGGAACTTCTAGCTATCCAGATATTTTGTCCCACAATCCCTATTGTCCCTGATCACCATACCCAGGAGTGAGGGACCATGAGAGTTGTCCACCCTGATTTAGCTTCTGCCAAGCTTAAAGCCTTGAGAGCTCACAAGCTGCTGTTTGCCAGGAGCAAAGGAAGAAGTGTTATTTTCTATGTTCAGCTATCCACAGTAGAAGTCCTTCTCCAGCTGTCATACAGGGATGCAATTTGGTGATAGATGATCTTACTATTGTTGAGTTAAAATGTGCAGATGTTCTCTTCTTTTTTATTGCACTGTTTCCTTTCTGAAAAGATAAATATAGATTTCCTGTGGCAGGGGGGAGATACAGCAATAATAATTTGAAATGCACTTGCTGCTGTAGTATAAATGTTCTAGGGGACTATAAGAAATACTTATGGATGCAAGATTTAATAGGCCACAGCTGTGGATGCAGGTCCAACTGTACTGTTTAAAAAAACAAACAAACTACCACCACTACGGGATACTGCTGAAGTGGGGATGGGGTACTGCCCAACTCTTATGAAATCAATAGTTAACATGCCTTGAAATTTCCTGCATGCAGTTCAGCTTTCCCCCAATCTTGTGACCTCCAGATGTTGTTGAACATGCATTGCCATCAGCCCCAGTGTTGGGAGTGAGAAAGATGGCTGCTCTGGGGGCTCATTCTCAAGGACTTCTGGCTGGACTTCAGAAGACTCAGAACTGAGTTGTGAGGCAGAATTGGGACTGTGGGCCAAGCCAAGACCCTGCTTATGGGGGCTGCTGATCTCAAGGCCAGGCTCCCAGGTGGGCAGGTTGCCCTGGGAATAAACAAGACATACAACTGGCAGGAGGGGACCTCGGGCAGGGGAGTTCTCAGGCACAGACCAGGCTGCTCCAGTTCTTGGACCTCATGACATGGCATCAGTAAAGCAGAGGCCCAGTTAGAGGATCAGTGCGTGGAGGAAGACAGGCTCACTTTCAGAAGGCTCCTCCCGAAGGGATGGGGCAAGGCATGCTCATAGGGGAATTCCTGGAGGTGATTACTAGACTGGGCTCAACAAACTGCTCTGTGCATGCTCAGAGGTTCATTCTGGGTGTTTTGCATTTTTTTTTTCTTGGTCAATAAAGAATGCTTTGCAAGGAAAACTGTCTGTGGCTTTCGAGTGCTTGAAGGAGGAACCCCGGCTCATGACACCTGGTTAGCATAGCCAGTCATCACAGGTAGCTGGAGTTACAGTCTAGCTCCTGGAGTGCCATGTTTCCCATCTCTGGTCTAAAGCTCTGGTTGCACAACTGGATTGCTAAATGACTGGCTTTGTGCAAACATCAGAGGAGAATCTTTGGGTAAGTTACAGCATTTTAAGTTACCTTCATCTGAAAATACTGAAAGTGCAATCTTAGACATGTCTACTCAGAAATAATTGTATCAAGTAGGACTTATTCTTGAGTAAGTGTGCATAGGCTTACCCATTTGTGCTCAGTGGTCATTACTCCCGGGCAAGTTGGTATAGGATTTTAGCTTAGAGATCAATCCTTTGACCCTAGAAGAGTGGCTTAGAGACCATATGGTAGCTTTGAATCTCTCTTTTGAAGCTGTGGATGCTGCTCCAACCTTGGAGGGAGTGGAAAGGGGGTGTTACAGAGAATGGGCAGGAGGGAAAACCCAGGATCTCAGAAACCAGTTGACCTCTCTGGCTCTGGCCAGCCCCCACTAGCATGCCTTCCATCAATAGGCTCAAAGCATTTAAAAACCTTTTAAAGGCGGGTAGACAGAGAAGCAAAAATTCCCTCCATAACTCCTCCTGTTCTGCTGGCAGCAGCTGAGTGGGCATTAGGTACACAGATGTGGAGATTGGAAGCTTTCTTCCAAGTTGTAAAATGCCAAAGAAATGCAGCTCTCATCTCAGTTTGCTGATCTTAACCTTTAAAGCCCCAAACATCTTGGGCCAGACTACCCAAAGCACTTCCTTCCCCTATGCTCAGTCCTCCTTGAGTTCTTCCATGAAGATGTGCTTAGGCTGATGTGCATAAGCAATGGGATCTCCGCTGTGCTGTCAGAAGTCCTTTCCTATTGACATGTGCCTGGCAACTTTTGTTCAGGCAATTGAGTGAACGATAAAGAGTTTTGTGTAAAAGCTGCCTTTATTGAATTCATAATTAACTTGCATGCACAAAGCAGCTTTCAGCATCCTGTATGCTTGCTAACTGAAGATCATGTTTTTGTGCATATTTTATGAGGGTGTGGCCTTGCAAAGTGGCTAAAAATACTTGAATGCTTGTGTTTTTTATAGGCTTTCCTGCCTACCCATTGTATGTGGCCATAATGAATCTGTTTAATATAATTGTGAGGAAGGGAGGGATGAGGACTCATTAATTGCACCCTACTGTAATCACCTGTTTTTCAATGTTTTGCACAAGTTATTGTTGAATAGTTGCTTAATACCACCCTCTAGTGGAAAACTAATTTATAAATTTGATGCTGCTGCTTAACAACCGACAGCTCTGTAGTGGCTGCAACAAATCAATTTAATCCACATTTGATCCAAATCCACAGTAGCTGCAGATATGAGTGATTCAACACCAAATTAAAAGATTTATATCTGTGTTATAAATTAACAGTACACCCACTGCTTAAATTAAAGAGTCATTCAGCTCCCATTAGGAAAAACGAGCAAGTAATGAGGTTAGAAAGAGACTGAGCTGCACACCATTGTGTGACAGTGAAGCTGTGACTAACTGCATCAAGATTTTCTTTGATCCAGAAAAGTAATAAACATAGATGAGGATGGAGTGGGGGAGCAAACATGAAGGCATCTGTGAGAGGATGCTGGGGTAGAGGTCATTGGATAGGCAAGAGTCAATATTATCCTGTTGCTCCAAAGGAGAGGCAGACGAGCTGCAAAGGTGAATTGGGTTCAAACACTTGCCATCTTCTCATTTGGGTCACCTCACATATCTTCTAAAAAATATACATACCAAGGCAGAGATGTTATTTGGAGGGCTAAATCATTGAGACCTCTGTGTGGAAGTTCATAAACTGAATTCTAGCTTTCAGTTGTGTAACATTTCTTGCCCTTGCCTTGTTCAGGTAGATCCCAAAGCAGTATTAGCTGCCTTTGTACTATACCTTGGCTGTGTTCAAGTAGTCATTGTGTGTATGAAAGATGTTCCAGGTAAAGAAGAGAATGTGTATTGCCATACTTTTAATATTTGTTTCCATGATCTAATTCAGTATCAGGTAGTTTCCTGTGTTTCTCTTAAATGTTAATTTAAGTGTTGCATAATTGAGCTACCATTCCCTGTGGGAATAAGTTCTGTTGAATGCAGTAGAACTTTTTTCTCCACGTGCGGATTTTGCTGGATTTGATGTGCAGACATGTGTTAAGTAACCCATAGAGTGGATGTTTGCAGGTCTGTGATGATCAGTTGATTAATCTTTTCTCCTCCACCCCATTTTGAGATCCTTTTCAGTAAGACTTTTTCTGCTCGTTGTTCCTCCATTCAAGAGAGAAAGAGAGAGTGAAATATGCCTTTTGATTATTATGCTTTTACAAACCTGGATTCTTATATGAATTCCTCTTCACCTAGGCCATGAGGCATGTAGAGTCTAACTCAGGGGTCCTCAGACTTTTCCACCAGGGGGCCAGTTGAAAGGTGCTGGTGCTGGAGCCGGAAAGGTGGTGCCAGCGGTGCGTGTGGGCCGGCGAGGGGGCGGGGGCGGCGTGTGCAGGCGTGCGTGTTGAGGCAGGGTGGGGTGGGTCGTGCGGCGAGGGGAGGCAAGGCGCGGGCGGGTGTGCGGGCAAGGGGAGGTGAGGGCGCACGAGGCAGCAGCTTGCTTGGAGATCATTTTCTTCGAGTGACAAACCACTGCCTCCTCATGCACGGGACAAGGTGGGCGGTGGTGGTGGTTGGCGCAGGCATGGCGGGTCCAAATGGGCATGCTATCTTTATACTAGCAGTGTAATAACAGAAGACGGCACTTGCAGAATATGACAAGCAAGCTTCTGCTAGAAGCATGCTCAGAAGTCAGAAAGTTCCCCAGAAAACGATCTGCAATTTTCTGTTAGCTCTTTCCAATGATGCATAGCTTGCATGAGTGAGCCACCTGTGTGACTCATTAAATACACACAGGAACTAGTATGGATGAGGAATGACTCAGCTCTGTCGTTCCTCCACTGTAACTTTTCATCAGGAAAATAATGCCCTTAATGAAGATTGTTCCCTGGTCAGGTGTGGTGGTGGTGATTTAGTGCTGTTGCATTGTGTGGCTTCTGAAGAAAGTAAAGCAATTGCACAGTAAAGCAATGTTCTGCTTATATTTATACAGAACAAATGACATCAACTTGGACACCATGAGTGGGGATGTTAAAACTATATGATGTTTGCTCACATTAGTGGGTAGTACCCGAACTGTACAACTTTGGGGCAAGGGGAAAGGTTAAGGGCACTCACTCTTTTCCTCCCCCCCCCCTTAGCTCCATGAAGACAGTACAAAGGTTTGAGCCACCCAGCTTAGTGTGGTGCCCCCTTCAGCTTTGTGCTATTGATTCTCCCACCCCTAATGCTGATCCTGCTTTTTGTATTTCTGGTGTTGTACATGTACATGATTGTGTATGCCCATAGCATGTTCTTTTCCATGCAACCCCTGAGGGGGTGTTGCAAAAAGGCAGCATTCTTAGCTGTTGCTGCATGTTTGCTCCTCTCTGTCGGGGGCTGTAGCAACTCAGGGGATGCTTCTCGGTTGTCGCCAGGTAAAAGAAAGGTCATTCCCATAAACATCATCACTAACAGTAGAAAGTCCAGAATGGTGAAATAGGTTAGTATGGATGGGCTTTGAGATAAATGGGAGTTTAGTGTACTTATGGAGTTGGTTACCTGCATAGGGGGAACAGTGTGTGTTTTCTCTCCTCCCCAAGAGCTTTACAGTGAGTGGAATCCAACCAAATGGCACCGTGGTATATAGTATGTGCCCCAATAAAAAGGGTTTGTATTCCTCCTATCTTTGTATCTTTCACCCCTTCGCCTATTATAAGTCCAGATTCTTCACAACACTGCAATTTCCCTGAGTGGGCTGAAGAGCCTTTGTTGATTCTTGCCTAGCAGTGAACTTTTAATGTAGATTTACTACCCAGGTTATTTTCTGTTTAGGAAGTGGCATAGGTTTAGAGAGTAAGTGTGATCTCATTTGTACATGTTTGGATTTGTATATGTTACTGAGTGAAATGATGGTAGGATTGGCCCAGTATGTAGGCCACTATTGTATTAGAATTACATAACAATGCTTGAGTGGTAGAAACTGATGAAAAGACTGGGATGTTCAGAGTCCCTTTACAGATTATAGCCTGCCACAATGAAGACGGCTCAAGCTCTGCAGCGAATGTGGTCGCATGCTGTGAAAAAGTTGAGGATTTTAAAATGGCATGTGAGTTCATTGTGTGTGTGTGTGAGAGAGAGAGAGAGAAAGCAGGAGTGAGAGAGTGATTAGGCTTTCCAATTGCCCCATCCATACCAAGATGTAATATTTAAATTGGTGAATGAGCTCTCTAATTCTTCTACAGAGATATGAACATGCAATAATTATTTTAGACTAAATTGCACTTCAGGTGCTTTTAGATGTTAATGTACATCAGGTATTTTTGCTGAGATAGTTTTCCAAGTTCAAGTAGTACTCATACATAAATAGTCAAACTAGTATTCTAATTAAAACTAATTAGCATGAATCTGTACAGAATTCTGCTTGAGAAAATTGTTTAATGAAATGGGTTTTTTTTGTAATTCTAGGCTTGCTAGAATTTGCTAAACTAATTCTTAGTCATCTCTTCACCAGTTTAATTGTGTAGCAGTGTGGTAGCTAATGTATTTATGTTAGCTTTTTGCATTTTCTCAGATGATACATTAATAGCCTTTCCTTTGATGCTTTTGTGAACCAATGAACCATTGTCTGCTCTAGGTTTGCTGGATCCTAATGTACTTTGAATTTTGTGTTTGTTGTGACAGAAGATTTAATCTATGCCCTGGTACAGTTGGAAGTCTTCAGATGGTGACTTACAACATCTGTGGTCTTACCCAACCCCCAAGTTCATTTTGCTCCTTCCATTAATCTGTCAGCACTGGTTAGTATCTCTGCAACAGCAAACAGCTGTAAATTTTATAATGTTAAAGAGATTATGAGTTAGAGATTTAGGACAGGGCAGATGGCTTTTGTGCCTAGTGAACTCCCAAGGTGAACTTAAAGTACTTGTTGGTACTACACTGTATAACCATCAAAATAGGACCTCAAAAGCAGGTTGGCTCTTCGTTTTATAATTTCAGTGTGCGGAAACCAGATACACGTTTTCTTATTTTGGTAACTATTTACTATATGTCATTACAAGAATTTTTGTTTCGTTTTCTGCTCCTTTCTTGAACACAGATTATAAAACTAATTTCTCTTAAATGTGGAAAAAATGTTTTGTTCACAAATAAAAATATCTTTAAGCTATTGTTAATGAACTTGCACTCTTCAAATTCACCAAGTGGTTGCATGTGAGTAGAAATCTATTCATGGTTTTTTTTCTGTACGCTAAAATGAGTGCATGGGCTTGTTCAGGCCCCTGTGGCTTATTTAAACCATTCTGAACATTCAAGCCATGATTGTTGGTTGTCATGTCATCCTGCCAAGAGTTAAACAACTCCCACATAAACCCATGGCCTGTCATTTGAAACCCTCTGGAGTTGGGTGACATGAAAAGCTTCATGTCACCCAACATGGCCTGGATGTTGCAAAGCCTACACTGCAGCTCACATTGTTTTTCAAAAACAAGTTGCTTTGAACATGGATGGAGGTAGAAAAAAAGACCAGGACCTCCTAGAAGTGAGAGGAATTGTCTAGCTGTGATTGAAAAGTAATTTAGCTGCTCACAAGTTAACAAATTTTTTACTCAGCTGTGTAGCATTTTAGTAGCAATTCTGCAGTTGTCGCCTGCTCTTATGACTTCATGATATTTTTGTTCTAAATTCTTATTTTTCATAATCAAAATATCTTCCCCCCATAAATAAAATGCATGCAAATATCACATCATTTTGATAATACTAATAGTAATGGAAAATAATTCACTTTAATATTTGAAATGTTTTTAGTAGGGGTGTGTGTGTGTGTGTGTGTGTGTGTGTGTGTAAAAGAGAGGGAGAAAGACTGGAAAGACTGTTACATTATCTGTCATAATTTGGAATAATAATGTATATGAATTTTTATTACAAGATGTGTATCAAATAACTTGTTGAGAATCTAGACTCTGTCCAATCAGACTGAAAAGGCTGAATACTTTGTCTCTTTATATTGTTCAAACTGATCCTCCTGTGTTACTGCAGACTTCACTGATTATAGTCGTATTAAGGAGTGACTCTAGTTCCACCAGTACTTCAAGAGACCATCTCAAACAGTGGTGGATAACTTGTGGCCCACAGGATGTTTGGATCTACAACTCCCATCAGTCCTGGCCAGTTTAACTCAAGGAGAAAGTCCATGGGAACTATAAGCCAAAAGATCTGAAGGGTTTTCCACTTCTGATCTAAAGTAACAGTATAATATATTGCTCCTGATAGCAAGAAGAGAGTATTTTAGTTGACTGTGCTGATTATGTGAGTTATAATGGTTAGCATGCAGCTTTTCCTTCTGGTTTAGCTTTTACAGGTGTGAAGGGATCCTTATGAGAATGGGCTTGCAGCTGATGTTGCGATGAAACACATTGGAATCTGTCCCTCTAGCATTCACAGCCATCCTCTCATGTTCAGCCCTGTTTCAGAAAGCAAGCTGAGAGGAAGTCCATGAGATTGCGCAACCTTCTTCCATGTCGCATGCAACACAAACAAAGGCTGCTTGCATATGATGCAGAAAAGGGAGTTTGTGGGGGCTTAGTTTCTGGGAAGTACTGCACAAACACTGGGCACACTCACCTGGAACTTGGACTCATGGCCATGACAAAGTGGACCGAAGTCCGGGGAGCTGAGCCCAGGGAATCCAATAGATTCACACTGCCAAAATGGATTCCTCACTCATTTCTAGTTGTAGCACGTGAGAAGTTTATTCCTCATATATGTATTCACTTGGCTATGACTGACATTAAAAAATCCCATTAGTGTAGGTGGGAACTTTTGTCATGGAGCACAGGTGCAGATTCAAATAATAAAGAAATAGGGATTATTATAAAATGCCTTCCTCAAGGAAGGCTCACTTGGCCTTTTACAGGCAGTTTTGCTGGATGGCAATAATGTTTTGTTTTACCAGGAGGTTGGCTTTGAATGAGTCTCTGGATGGAAGTTTCCTTGCCAGTCAATGCATCGTTTCTGTCTTCCCCTCCCTAACAGATGTTACGTAGTTAGAAGAAAGGTTATAAGTAGAAGGGTTACCAGTGAAGGAACCTCCACCTCCATAAAGTTCTGTGAATGAGGCAGGTTGAATGCTCAATAAAAGAAAGCCTCATCTGGAAGCATCCTTAGAGTTACTTACTGCATTCTCTTTCTTTAGTTTTTAGCTTGCTTCTTGTGTTTCACTGTTGCAGTTGTTTAATTTATTTTGCAAGATGCTTTGAAAATCTTGGAGAGGAAACAGTCTACAAATTTTTTAAAATATGCAGTCTACTAATTTGTACATTTCAGGGTCTGCGGGAGAAAGATCTTTTCCACCATGATCAGGGAGCAAAAGAATTAGATTTTTTGGTTCAGTTCAGGTTCAGCTCAATCATGACTCATCTACATTTCTAGCCTAATGTCTCCCAGGTTCAGCCCTTAAAGAAGATAGAATATGGTTGCCTATAAAGCAGAGAATAGACAAACGTGTTCAGATTCTGGTTTTATTTTATGTTCTAATTCTGATGAATCCTTTTCAGGGGGTGCTGTTTGATTGAACCCTTACTCTGAACCGGTAATTTGATCTCCCACCCCTGCTTCTGTTTACTTCAACAGAGAATTTCAGATAATGGATCAAGTTCTGTTCTCATTCAGTGAAAAAATGAAGGCTTTTCCATTTTTTGGTTCATGGCAAGTTAAACCTGATCAGTTTTAGCTAAAGGATACGTGCAAAGCATGTGCTCTGCTATTACTAAGATTTGACCCCTTCCCCAGCATTGTGTGTTGCAGGCAGAAATTTAGAGAGATCTGGGTGTGAAACAAGTATGGTGTATGTGAGTCAGACACAGAAATGGCTACGTATACATTTAGTCCCATACATTTTGCTTTTAAAATATGATTCTTATTCTGAACATCACTAATTAATGTTGATTTCTAAAACATTGCAATATAATTTTTGATAGATTCCTACTTTTTAATAAGATTTTTAAAGCTTGTGTTTACTTTGACAAGCTTCTCTTCTCTCTTCTCTTTGATGTACTATTGATGATTGCTTTTTCATTGTATAATAGGCCCCAGGCATGGAAGAGCTGATATGGGAACAGTACACAGTGACCTTGCAAAAGGTGAGAGGTTATTTATGGTCTATTTTTCAAAAGCTCTTTTTGCAGCTACCTTTTGGTATGGTGGTGACAAACCTGAAATGATCCCTGTTCTTACATTAATCATTTTTATTCCAAAACACTGTGAGGCATCTTAATTATACCCCTTAGAAACATTCCACTTTACTTTTTATGCCAGCTGTTTATTTAACTTCATAGCAATTCATCTCTGTTGACTTAAAATATTTAGAATTCCAGAGATAGTATCAGTCTTCTTTAGGTTCCAGACCTGTGGTAGAAGGAGATAATTATTAAGTGCCAGGACAAAAACTGTATCTCTAGTTTTGGTTATCAAGGAAGGGGAAAATTACTTGGTTGAAGTGGTATTCACTTGAGTACATAAAGGCCAGCTTATTTTTTGTGGTAGATGAAAACCCAGTGCTGTGAATTGTATTGAAAAGATGTAAGAAACTGGTTTAGACTTTCAAGCAATGGTATACAGTGCTAAAACTTTTGGAAACACTGCATTCCCCAAAACTTTATGGTTTCAAAATGCATTATAAGGCTTAAATGGCATGCCCTTATCTTGTAGTAGATCTAAAGTTGCATGGATTACTTGACATAATTTGTGAGAAGTGTTTCTGGCTAATGCTCACCTTGAAGTGATGCATCCAAAAGAGAGGCGGAAAACCACGGTGATATGTCTTTCCCTCTGGCGCCCCATGCCACTCACCTCTAGACTTACACATGGCAAGTCATATGAATTGTAATATTTATTCACTCTTGCCTTTGTGAAACAGGGAGAGAACCACCCTCATTTAGGGGGCGCCTTCAAAAGTACACACAATCCTACACAGAAGTCTCACATTTAATTTGATCAGCGGAGAGGGAAAATGGAGCCCCTGTGAGGACTGACCAAAAAGACCACTGGAAATGCTAAGCACAGGGGTAGGCAACCTCATATTCTGTTTTGGACTACAGTTCCCTAAACCCTGTGCATTGGCCATGATAGCTGTTGCTGGTGGGAACTGCATTCGAAAACATCTGGGAGGGCACCAAGTTATCCATCCCCAGATTAGCAATTGCTGGTCCTTCTGACGAGGAATAAAACTGCTTTGGTTGCAATCCTGTGCATACTTATATGCCATTGAAGTAAATGATGTTGACTCCTGGCATGTATAATTTGTACCTTTAAGCAAGTTTAAGTGTCCCCCAAGTATGCATACTACTGGCATGTTCTGATAAGCTGTATCATATGCTCCACACTCATTTCCAAATTTATTGCCTCTCACATCAAAGTCTCCCTCAGAGCATCTCACACAGAAAGGTGAAACACAATTAAAATCAAATAATTCAGAATACAGAATTGAAGCATCTGAGTGCAGCATACAGAGTGCTATTTTCTTTTATTGATATTGATACAAAGTCATCAAAGCCACAAGAATAAATTTCATCCAGAGTTTCAGCTACTAAAAGTGAAGGTGTGGCCTTGTTCATCAGTCTTTCTGCTACCTCACAAACAGACTCAAGATGCCAGTGGTAACACAGACTGTTTGCTCTTGCGTACTAATGCTAACAGACTTCCCCCCACCCCAAGTGGAGGATTAATCAGCAGAGATTGAATGCCGATTTGAACTTCATGATTTAAGCCCAGGCAGGTACATAAAATATCATGATTTTTATGATAAAAGCACTTGGGGAGGTACCTTTTCCATTCTGTTCTTTTCTCTGCAGGTGCATATGCAGTTACAGGACTGTATTTTGTTGCAAGATTAGAATTGTGTCTGTCTACAGTGCAACTTAGTGGTTGCTAGCTTCTGTTCTTATAATCTTGAAAGTCCTGTGTTGAACTAAATGCCATTTGAATATACATTACTACAACTACTACTGTAGTAATTTAGGATTTGTATAGTGCTACCCAGTGTTCAGGTGCAGTATCTAACAGTATTCTTTATCACAGTGCTGTATGATTAGTGCTATTTCCTGCATATTGCAGATGCTTGGGCAAATGGCTTACGTATGCCACCTAGTTAGCTCATGGCAGAGCAGAGATACAAAACAGAGACATTCTGATTTTAGCCCAGTCTTTGCTATGCTACTCCAGCTCTCTTCTATCCCTATGGTTCCAAATTGTCCTGAAGTCACACTATTACTTAGTTGTTTATTTACTGTAGCCATGTATCTATTGTTAAAATCAGTTTTCACATGCCATGATCCTTGGTTCTCTTTGGAAGCACATATAAAATTATACATTTTAATTAATTAAAAATCATCTGTGACATGTCTAGAACATGGCCCTGTCTCAGCATTCTACCAATATCAAATTTTGTTCTGGTTGTCTGCTAAAAATAAGTGGTGTATGTTCTTTTTCTTCTAGGATTCAAAGCGAGGGTTTGGGATTGCAGTTTCTGGTGGCAGAGACAACCCTCATTTTGAAAATGGAGAAACATCCATAGTGGTCTCAGATGTTCTTGCTGGTGGCCCAGCAGATGGATTACTTCAGTAAGTAACCCTGCTTACGTCAGAAGTGCCCCTGCTCCTTTTGCACCGGAAAATTGTTGTAAAAAACAAGTATAATTCTAAATTTAGACTTTTCTGAAAGCACAAATTTAACCAAACTAGTGCATTTGTTTGATATGCCATCTTTATCTTGAAACCTGGATACAGCCCAGCTGTCTTCACTTCTAGCCGCCTGCCTAATGGCTAGAATCCCAGACTTTCACTGAAGTGCTCAGTAGCTTGATGCATTGAACATCTTATGCTTCTGATCTTCTGCTTCTTCAGGGGATGGAGCAGAAGAATCCTGTGCAGACATATTATGTGAGCATCAGGGACCTGCCTGTCTAGCACGCCAATATTCCTCAAGACTCATTAGCCTGTGTAGCAATTGGTTGCACAAAATCCATGACAGTTAACCTGGTTTCATGAATGAGAGCATCTCTTTCTCTGTGTCCCATTCTTGGTTAACTCCAAACAAGGGTCTTTGGAGTTTGCAAGTATACTAAGAAGAATATTTTTAGGGCTACTTCTGTTCTATTTCATTTATGATTTTATTGCCATCAGATTGTTTGTGTGTGTCAAGACTGCTAAGTGAGTAAATCTATCAATAAGGATATAGCATTGCTGCCGTTACAACGTATTTTATTTTCTTTTATAGGAAGCAACTATAAAACATATGGCTAAAATAATGAAATTAATATCTCCAATTTGGTACTGGGAAGATGTGAGGAACATAGATTTAATATGACAATGGGAAAACTCTTACAATTTTGAACAGATGATGTTGCTTAAGTCATTAAATAACTTATTTCTATGAAGAGGGACTGCAGGTGGCGCAGTGGTTTAAACCCCTGTGCTGCTGGGCTGGTTGATTGAAAGCTCGCCAGTTCGAATCTGCACAGCGGAGTGAGTTCCCGTTGCTCCGTCTCAGCTCCTGCCAACCTTGCAGTTCGAAAGCATGCAAATGCAAGTAGATAAAAAGGTACCACTTCGGTGGGCAGGTAACAGCGTTCTGTGCGCTTAGGTGTTTAGTCATGCCAGCCACATGACCACGGAGACTGTCTGTGGACAAACGCTGGCTCCCTCGGCCAGGAAACGGAGATGAGCACTGCCCCCTAGAGTCAGGCATGACTGGTCGTGAAGTCAAGGGGAAACCTTTACCTTTTATTTCTATGAAACTGAAAACAATGGAGCAAGTGTTTTGTACAATAAGGGGGGATTTGTACAAAAAATAACCTTATCCATTGCTGTGGATGCAGTGTAGTGTAAGTCATTTTGTGGGGTACTGGTTTAGACCATACATTGCATGTATGACTGAATACCCGAAAAGAGGGATCCTCACAGAACCTGTCTCTCTCCAGATGTTGCTGGACTCCAGTTTCTGTTGTCCCTGACAATTGACCACACTGGCCAGGGTTGACGGAGTCCAACCATATCTGGAGGGCTCACAGGTATCACACCACTACCATAGTGGCACTACATACAGAGACCTATCTTGTCTGCTTCCTCAGTGTGCAGGAGATAAGTTGCTTTTGCTCTTACAAGGAAGGAAGGAATGAGAGGTCAATTCACCCTTCCTGTTTTCACTGCCCACAGTCCTGTTCCTTGACCCAGCAGAGTGTGGAAGGCTGGTTTGGGGCATGGGAGAGGCAAGCATGGGCTATCCATTCCCCATAATGACCAGGCATAATTTGCTTTAATTGTGGAGGAATGGCCAAACTGAATTCTGCAATGCCAACAGGGGGACTCTTCTCAGGGAATGGCAGCAGGATTGGACAGGATAGGATTGGACTGAGCACAGAATTTTAATCAGCATGAAATTAAAGGTTAAATATAACATTTTGTAATTAACAACATACTTCTGTTTGCAGGGAAAATGACAGAGTGGTCATGGTTAATGGAACACCTATGGAAAATGTGCCCCATTCATTTGCTGTGCAGCAGTTAAGGAAAAGTGGGAAAGTGGCTGTCATTGTAAGTTAATTGCTTCTGGCATTAAAACGACCCTCAAAACAAAGACAGGGTGAGAGTGCATAATGTGCACTTGTTTAAAAATGGTTTATTCTTGATAGAGCATATTCTTCCTAGGAATAATCGTAAGTCCAGCATCTGTTTCGGGGTCTGTGTGACATGTAGCACATGATCAATATTTTTTCTTTGATTTGCTTATTGATGTTTATAGCATGTAATCCTGAAGCCTCAGAATCATTGACTTGTTGTGTTGCCCAAATCCAACAGAAGCAGGTTGTGTGAGGGTTCAGCAACTCTTACATAACCCTCGAACAGGCCATGAGTTCAGCGTATACCTGCTGTGTTCGGATGATTCAACAAGCTGCAGTTGTGGCTGATTATTCAGAAAGGCCACCATTATGCGTCGCAGGCCACTGTGGGGCCGTTTGTATAAACAGGTCCAGTTCGTGTTCAGACCACAGGCCATGGCAATACCACAAATGCATGTTCACACACACTTCCTCTAATGGGGAAATATACCTAGTTTTACTGAGTTACTTTTTGGACTACAACAATTGTTGAAATTTCCTGAGCCTTCAAATACCTTCTTCAGTGAGGAATGATGTCGTTTTGGATACGTAGGGGTGGGTCTAGGACACCTGGGATTACTATTAGCATATATGGTAAACTGAAGACAACATTTTCATTCTTCCTGATAATGTCTGCTTTAAAATTTGGAAGTATGTGTATTTGCTTGCTAACTTATGTAGCCTTAGCTTAAGAAAACAGATAATTTCCTACTTTTCATCCCTCCCTTTTCCTTTAGGATTTGATCTGTTGAATTGTCTTCACTTGAGCCTAGGGTGCTCACTCTGACTTGAACACTATTTTTGGTGTTCTAAAAACACTAGAAACACTAGTACTCCTAGTGCTAGTACTAATACTCCTACAACATTAGTACTCCTACTACTATTTTTTAGTAGGAGAGAGTTTGCAATGGCCAACCATAAAAAGGATTACTTATGAAAGGGTTGCTCATGAAGGTGCAAATAATGTTTAATATAGAGGGTAAGATACACACATGCAGGTGTGTTTTGTTCTTAAGGGTTTGCACCCCAAAATGATGTGTGCATTATTAAGAGTAATATTTGCTTGGGGAAAGCATTAAAGATGCTTAGGAAAGTCATTAAGGCAGTGGAAAAAACAAAGTTGTGGTGCAATCAGAGACATTAGTGTAGCCAAATATTGCAAGTGTAAAAAAAATAATTCTGATCATGTGAGTCTTAAGTTTTCCAAAACAGGAAAACTTGTCCATTCCCTTTTTAGAATGGACACGAGTTGAGGGAGGAAGCTTATAAAACCCCAAACCTTTCTTAGAAACACTGTTGCTTTGCAAAAAGCACTTACCTGGGCAGTTCCATATTCACTTCCTGGTACCTGTGCGGTGTTATTGTACCAGCTAGATGGACATGCTGCTGGTGTCTTAACATTACATATTTATGATAACTGTAAGAAATAACAGCTTGAATGTGTCGTATGAAGTACTGCATCTGAATTGGGCTTCCTGCTGATGGATTTTAAATGCTGAGTTTAGAACAATGTTTCTATTTCCTTCAACTAGGTAGTAAAAAGACCTTGTAAAGTACAGGCTCCACCTGTCAGAAGAAGCCCCTCTCTTGACTATGATTATAGAGCCTTTGAAGTCATGGATAATCGTGCAGACTTTGATGGCAGAAGTGCTCGAAGTGGCTACAGTGAAAGAAGTTGGCATAGTGGACATGGAGGACGTAGCCAGAGTTGGGGAGATAGCCTTGATACGGGCTACAGATTTTCACAAGAGAGGGGGCGGAACCGCAGCAGAGAGCGCAGCTACAGCCGGGATCGAAGTCGGGGCCGGAGCATGGATAGAGAGAGAAGCTTGGACCGCGAGTACCAAAGACCCCGAAGCAGAGGCAGAAGTGTTGACAGAGATGATGCGTATGACCATGGCTATGGTGGTGGGAGGAGTCCACCAAGAGATTATGGTTGGAGATCTCGTCCTGACCCTCCATATGAGAAGGAAGCAAAGAGTGGGAGCCGAGGCAGGCTTAATTCCCCCAGTCCTCCCCTTGAATTGCAACAGCAGTATGAGTATGGACCAGAGCAGGACCCACATGGGCCAGTGAATGTTCTTCTCACAAAAAGCAGACCAAATGAAGGCAAGTGTGTGACTGGTGCTGGTGTGCTTTGAAGTGAATGATCCAATTTGCATGTCGTGGTGGCAATTCCTGGTTGTTTAACCCAGGAATCACTGGGGAGGTATGAGCATCATGCTTGAATAATTTCCAGTTTTAATCAGAATGCCAGGAACAAGTCATGAAGTCTGAGTGGAACTTTTTTAAACCTGTAAACAATCCAGGAATTGCTCCTGGATCAGTGTTTCCTCTTGCTTTTTAGTTCTTCCTACCTGTGGCAGTATAAGACTGTCTGGGTGACATCTTTCAGTTCTTCTTGTCTTCTCCTTGTCCTCCCCTTTATTTTGCCAAAGGGAGAATGCATAATTTCAGAAGGATAAAGAATTCACTGAGACCAATAACACCTTACAATATATTATGCAAAAACAGCTTACACAGACACCATAGATCAACCTTCCTCACTGTGGTGACTTCCAGATGTGCTGGACTGCAGTTACCATCATCGCCACCCAGCATGGCCAATGCTTAAGAATACTGGGCATTAGGTGAGTTGCAACCCAACACATCTGGAAGGTATAAGAGTAGTGGAAAGCTGCCATGAACACATAATACCTACAATTATAAATACCCTGAAAGGACCTAAGGTTAGACTCCCAAGACTATATTTTCAGTATCGTGAAGCACTGCAATCTACTTTAAATCTGAATTGCACCTCAATTTGCAGGAGTTAATAAAAGAGCAACCAAATAAATACACAACTTTCCTCTTACTCTCTTCTAGTCTCTAACCAAGTCTCCACTCATCAGACATGCACTTCTTGTGCAAGCACAGAGGATGTAATCTTTCTCATAAAGAGTTATGTCTCCGGTCAAGTGAGCTGCAGTAAAATTCCTCACTGGTGTTTATGTTATCATTTGGCTGAACTGTTTCAGACTTCTCCACCCTGGTTACCTCCAGATGTACTACTCTGAATCTCTCTTCAGAATACTACATTTGATATGCATGCAGAGGTCTGTGAACTCAGCACTGCCAAAAACAAACAGTTCTGTGCCTGGGAAAAAAGACAATTAATATGCATTGTGACAGCTGCTGTCATAAATTGGAAGGATTGTCACACAGATGTGATTGAAGCAAATTTGTTCTCTGTTGCTCCAGGAGGAGGAGCGGTGGATCTGAATCCATGGGTTCAAATATTGGAAAAGTAAATTTGAAGCATCACTAGAAAGAATTTTCCAATGGCACAACCTGTTTAACAATGAAACTGTCTGTCCTGGAATGGGGTGGACAATCCTTCCTTACAGGTTTTTCAGCAGAGGCTTGGAAGACTATCTGTCAAAGACCAAGCTGATTTCCTACATCAGCAAGGTGGAACAGATAATCCTTGTGGTTTATCTGACTCCATTTTTGTCTGAGTTACCAAACTCTTAACAGTACAAATGAAGACAGAGGAAGTTTAGGAGCTTTCAAACTAGCACGTACAAGCCTGCCCAAGTTGCATCCCAGGCAGTAAGGAGAGCTTTTTTAGCCCAGGGCCTGAATTGTCCCTGGTCAAGTACATTTGGAGTTTGCATGTCAACAGTAAGGACTGTGCAGGTCAAAGTTATAGGGGACACTGCTGCCGCAGGCATGCGACCCCCTTCATGTGCTTGTCCCCCTGTTCGTATGTACTCAAGCTCACCTGCATTCACACAGTGGGCGTTGTGTACTACTCGCATTCTCCAAGGGAACATGAGCAGTAGGCAAAGCCCTCTAGGAAGGCATGGTTTGGTGGGAAACAGGATATTTCCATGGGTAACAGACTTGTGGGCTGTGTTAGGCCTGTGGGCCAAAGTTTCTGTGCTGGTTGTAGTTGTAACCCACTGAGTTGAGGATGGCTTGCCAGCAATGGATGGTGACTTGCCAGGCACTTGACAGCTCTGTTTTTGCCTTCCTTGGCATGCAGCCAAATGACTGACTTGGTTTGTCTTTGTTGGTTGTAAGCTGCATTCCTGAACTTAATGCCGCAGAGGAGATTGTGAGTGGGCTGGAGGGACAAGGGTCTCAAGCAAGAGAAATGCTATGATGCCATTTGGAATTTTTTTTAAAAGTTTGGGACCTGCTGGCCTATAATGCATTTCATCTGCTGTTATACAAATCTACCCCTTTTTTGTTCTACTTGCAGAATATGGTCTCCGGCTTGGAAGTCAGATTTTCATCAAAGAAATGACCAGTACAGGACTGGCAACGAAGGATGGCAATTTGCATGAAGGGGACATCATTCTCAAAGTATGTTCTTGTAAGAAGGGCCCCTAATTTCTTCTAGTGTTGGAAAAATGCTATTTTTCTGATATTTTGTTATCATGGCAAGTTTCCCTGTCCTTTTGCAAATATTGAATGGAAACTCTTCTCTTTGAAGTGCCTTTTATGCTCCAACTATAAGTAACAATGTTTGTCTTACTCATTTAGATCAATGGTACAGTGACAGAGAATATGTCTTTATCTGATGCCAGAAAACTGATTGAGAAATCAAGAGGAAAACTTCAGCTGGTTGTCCTGAGGGACAGAAAGCAAACCCTAATCAACATTCCTTCCATGCATGACAGTGAGTCAGAAATAGAAGGTGAGAAGTTAAAAGAAGAGCCAAAGTCAATTTTTTCTATAAACTAGTCAATGCAGAAATAACCAAACTTTTTACAGTATGTTGTATGCTGAATTAAAATGTAGTTAGTTTAGAAAGAAAACAAAAATTGCTAAGAATAATATCTGGGCACAGATTTCTAGACTCTTATCTATGCTGAACTGTGGCCAGATTTCTTGAAGCAAGAACTGTGGCCAGATTTCATGCTTTACACCAAGACCAATAGCAATAAAGAAATCGGCCTCAGAAGATTTTTGTTTTCATATCATGTTTTTCTCACTTGTCATTCATTTGTTTAGACTGCTCTTCCTTCTGCCAAGAATGCTGAACACCTTTCAGCCCAAGCACCAAATGCCATTTTAAAGAAGGTCTTGGGGCTTGCATTCCATTGGTGAATGAGGGCAAAGGAAATACAGGGCAGGGCCAAAGGCAGAGAAAGCAGAGCTAAAATGCAAGAAATACATGCATATTTTTGCTTAAAGTGTTGACTAGCAGTAACTAAGCATTTCAGCTTCTTAGAATGAGGGGGAAAGTTTGGAAAACACCACATGATTTATCAGGAGAAAGGAGATGCAGTCATCTAGGGAACCCTGGAGGGCTGGACTGAGATGCCAAGCAAGTCCCATTTGGCCTGCAGACCTGAGGTTTTGCACGCTTACACTAGTCATAGGCTGGCTGGAAAGAAGACTGCCTCTGTGCTTTGTGCAAGCTGTCCACTAAAAGGCCACTTTGTATAGACTGCTTTTTCTCTTCTGCTGTGTTTGAGATGAAAGTATAAATGTTGCAGTTAATTCATGGGTCAGGCAGCCATTCATCATGATTTCATTTTGAGCCAACAGCTGATCCCAGATTTGGAGTTAAAGTATGCAAAGACTTTGTTTCCTGTCTTGTAACCCTTATACACAGTAACTCTGATCTCTCTCCTTTTGTTCACCAACCATAAGACATAGGAGTTCTGGGACGGGAGAGTCTGCAGCTTGTGCATTCCTGCTGCTGCTCTTGTAGTGTTTCAAGGAAACACATTGCATGATTAGGAATGACACTGTGGCTGTTTCTTCTGCCAGTGTCTTATTGCCCTGCAAGCAGCTTCACCGCAGCGGCTTTTATGCTGCTATATATATATTTCAAGCTTGAGTGTTGGTGGTTGGATTGTTTGATGCTTGGAGAAAGGCTTAATCTGCATTAAATTTATTATTTATTAAAACTTTTAGTAGACTCTTCTCTCAACACTTGTTCTCAGAATGGTTTAGAAATAATGAATGGGGCTTGATGGTTGATACCTCATGGAGAAGGTGGAAAATACCTACCCTAAGTTTCATAATCCTCACTTGCAATATTAGCACATTTTTTTCAAGCCAGGTGAAGGTAGATTGATTGATATCACAAGGGAATTAACTTTTCTGATGGGAATTACTCCTAGCATCAGCTTTGTCTAATTTCAGGTAGGTTTTAATTTTTGTTTAAAGCTGTCACAATGGCTAATGGGTAAAGCATTCATTATACGCAAATAAAGGTCAATGTTGATTGAAGTTACTGGTAAATGCTTTATCTACTCAGGCTCTACTATACTCTCTCAACAGATATTTCAGAAATAGAATCAAACCGGTCCTGCTCCCCTCAGGATGAGAGAAGACCATATCATTCTGACTTAGACTCACATTCTTCCAATGAAAAGCTAAAGGAGAAAGCCAGGTAGGAGGTGTTGTCTTTTACATCTTGTGTTACTAAATTTTTAACTTCCTGTTAACTGTTGTGAATTCTGTTTTAAGTACAAAAGAAGATCCAACCAATAAACTGTCCAGGATGGGAGCACTGCCCACCCCTTTTAGATCCATGGGTGATCTCGCTACTGCTTCAATGCCAGAGACAAATGGTGAACCAAAGTACCAAGATGATCCCCCAGGTTAGTGTTCGCTCTGCTTCAAGATACTTCCATTTGAGTGCAAGGAACAAGCCTCTTGGCACTCATCTAAGTATAAAACTTGTTCATAGTTCCTGGAGATCATGTGTTTTAGGCAATGCATGTTGCTGCTGCTTTAGGCATTCCTGCTAAGTACCTAATTTGGGGTGTTAAAATGCTTCCCCTAATCTTTTTTTCATGAACTGGAGACAGGACAATATATCTTCTCTGACACAGCAACCACATACCTTTCCAGCTGTCTTTTAACAAAGGATGTTATAAAACAGAAAATAAGCCACACAAAATAGATGGACTTAATTTAGGGGTTTTTTTTATTTGTAACATATGTGAAGAGAAAAGATAAAAGACTCATATTAATGAAATACTAATGTAAAAAAATCCTTTCCCCTCTTTGTTTCAATATAATAAATAATGACAAGGTGACTTAAACATTATAGAGACATTTTAAGGCCTTGTATCAGAACAGTCAGGTTAACCTTTGAGATACCCTAATACAGCAAGTGGAAAAACTACACCTGATGTCTTGTGCCATAATATTAAATTTAAGATGTTGCAAGACTTTTTTTGCACTAGCTGACATGGGTACCTCTCTGGCAACCGCTACACATGGAGAGAGAATCCTGTATCTGGGGATTATTTAGCTGGAAAATAAAATTCTAGCTATTCTTTATATTGCATGATGAATTTACTTTCCAGTATTGTATACTTTAGTGAAGATTGCATATAGGCTGAAATCTTAAGCATTCTTTGTAGAAGCAAGTCCATCATTAGCATTTTCATCATCACATTGCATTGCACTTAATATGCTGCCCATTTTCGTCTTGTGAGGAACACAAGGTGGCTTTCACAGCTCTATTTTATCCTTACGGCAACCACCACCACATGAGACAGGTTGGACTGAGAGTCTGTGACTGACCCAAAGTCACCCAATAAGACTCATGGCCAAGTGGGGATTAGAACCTGCATCTCTCAGGTCCCCAGTATGACACTCTAACCACTGCACCACACTTAAACCAGTGGGGATTATTTTGCATGAGTAGTAATTATTTCTAAGTGTTTCTAGAAGTTGGGTGCAATAGGGTCAACCAGATTTGACTGCTTGGTGCCTGTTTCTTGTACTGACTTTTGTGTTGTTTAAAAAATAAATAGAAGGAAGTTCTTTGATTTTGTGTATGTGTCTTTAATATACAGTTGCTCAGCCAAAAACTGCCCCAAGAACATTTCTTCAGCCAAGTCCTGAAGACCTAGCAATATATGGGTATGAGTTTTTAACTTGTTTCACCTGCTACTTTCATACTTGATAAATTGTACTGGTCTAAGTATTAACCAGGAGAAGGCTTTTATCAAGGGGAGTAACTTGTGGCCCTCCGGATGTTTTGACCTACAGTTCCCACCATCCCTCACTGTTGGCAGTGCTAACTCAATTTGATAGAAGTTGTAGACAAGACATCAGGAGGACCCCAAGTTGCCAACCTGGTTTTCATATTAAATACAATACAGGATTTTTTGATGTACTCTTTCAAATGCTATATGCAGAAAGTCATTGTGCAGAGGTAATGCTGCCTCAAATATATTCCTTAACTTGGTTAGGATACTGGGAGTGTCCCATGATCTTGTTTGCCTCTTCCCTTCCCCATTTCTATGTGAATTCTTTCCTTTTCTTTTGGAGAAAGAATGGTTAGCATTTTTACTTCACCAGTTTTAAGTCTTAATTTTGCCTCAACCACAGTTTATAAACCATACTTCTAAAAGTATTTGTAAGTTTTGGTTTGGCATTAATTCTGAGTGATGAAAATGCTGGGATATATATAAATTAACTCTGAAAGGGAGGAAGGTTCACACAGACAAGAGGGGTTTGCATATGGAAAGAGGAGGAAGAAAAAGTATACAAGGCTATGGAACTCTCATGTTCTAATCATGGTTAGGAAATAAGGCAAATTCCTTCTGCACTGGCCATTGGCATACTCCTGATTAGAATTTTAAATGCAAATGACTACTGTTTGTGTGAAGGCTGATCCATTAGAATTCCACCAAGTCACCATGGATGTGAATGCAGCTGGTTCTGGGGAGGGAGGCTAGAATGAAATAGATCATGTTTCTAAGATATTTCCATTACCAAAATACTAACCATTTTCTATTGGGCAATTTCAGCAGTCAGTGGCTGCTGGCACAGTATGCTGCATACTGTCCTTTTCTCTCCAGCCTTTTTCCTGTGTTAAAAGACTGCAAAGAGGTATTTGATGCCCTTGCATTTAGTGTATGCTGATTGCACATGCAAGGTGGGTCCTTTCCATTCAGTTCCAGACACTCTGGGTGAAACTGACTTTCTGAAAACTGCTTCAGCTGTGCTGTGAAATGAGCTTTGTGAAGGCAGATATAGGAGGAGTATGACCTTGCTAACTCTCTTGGACTTTTGAGCAGCTTTCAATACTATGAGCTGCAGTATTATCCTGGATAATTTTGAGCTGGGCTTTGGAAATACTCCACTGCAGTGGTTCCATTCCTGCTCCAACAGTGGATTTGAGAAGGTGGTCCTGATGGATTACTGCACTGCCTTGTGACAGTTATGCTGTGTGGTTCCATTTTATGTATGTTTACATATACGCACTGTGAGATCACCTGGAGAGGTGAACTGAAGTGTTACCAATATGTGGATAATACTCAGCTCTCTCTCTCTCCTTTCCATCAAATTTAGGTGAGGCAGTGGGTGTTTTGAATGAGCATGATAATAGACTTGGATAAAGGCCAGTGAATTGACACAGTCAGTAAGACAAGGTGCTTTTAGTGGGCAGTGTGTTTGCCCACCTGAGCAGTGTTCAAACTGTCACAGAGGTTGTAGTTCCCCAAAGCAGAGAATGGGAATGGCTCTGTGCCTTGCAGAGCTTTCAGTTAAGCCTGCATGTCCCTTCCATCAGTGCCACAACTTGTCCAAGGCTGCCCATCATTTCTCCCCACTCTACATTCTCTGTCTCAGCACTGCTTTCTTTTTATGAATGAGAATGGAAAAGGAGTGTGGATGGGAGCAGGAATGGGAATGGGGGACATAAATGGATGGATGTGTGTGAATGGGGTTTTTCGTCCATTCTCACACCCACCCACTCCTCTCATTCTGACAGGAATGGGAATGAGTGGGGGTGGGAGTATGTGGACGGCATTGGTGTGTAATCCCCAAAAGGCTACCTACAACAGAATTCAGCCCCCATCTCTGTCCTAAAGTATCCATCGTTTGCCCATAGTTTGGGGTACTCTTGCATTTAGCACTGTTGCTGGAGGCAAAAGCTGCCTTTCAGAATGCCCTTCCTCAGTTTCATCTAATATGTCCAATGTTAAAGGTTAAACTGGTTAAAGATAGCCTTGCTACAGTTTCCCACACTCTGATAAACTCTGATGAGCCTTTTATAATGGTTCGGAAAATTCAGTTTGTCTAAAATGGCACAACGAGATGATTAAGTAGAACCGGAAAATATAATACCAGTGAATTCTCATTTGTCTGAAAGCATTTCCTTGCAGAACCCAATGCTCTCTCCCAAGATGAACACACTGCAGAAATAGCTTCAAGCCTATGATGTTTGACATGTTCCTAAAACTTAGAATCCTTTTCTCTCTGAAGCCCCAGTACAAAAATGGTGAAGTTCAAGAAAGGAGACAGCGTGGGTATCCGACTGGCTGGCGGGAATGATGTAGGGATATTTGTTGCTGGAATTCAAGAAGGTACTTCAGCAGACCAGGAAGGTCTACAAGAGGGGGATCAGATTCTTAAGGTATACATATAGAATTTCAGAGGATTATTTTTTGTACATGAGATGGGGAAATAACTTTATTTCCGTATTTAGAACTATGAAATTACTGTTACTTATTTTATTTATTTATTTCATTTACAGTGTATACTTCCTCAATAGCCCAGAAATTGTGAATGTGTCAGAATCTTGGGTGTGGTTCCTCATCATGTTAATGTTAATTGCCAAAACTAACCTGGAATGATGGTTAACCTCTGGCAGTAACTGAGCAATCCAGCTGCAAATAAAAAAAGAATGGTCCAGCTGTATCTTCTGTTTCATTTGTCCTTTTGCATTTACCACCAGTGCTTCTAAAATCTGTAAATATAAGCTAATCTGCTCATATGAGGAAGTGTTGCACCCCTGTGAATGTGCAGAGCAGGCCAAAGACTATGAACGGTCAAAAATCCTGGAGGACATTACAATAGCCCAGGTCATACAATGGGAGGAGGGGATTCCCCCCACCCACCCTAGTCAGGACTGTGGGACAACAAGCTGCACTGCCAAGAGTAATTTTGCGCAATCCCAGGGTGACTAACAATCCATAGTGGTTTGTGAAATACTCTGCATGTGCCACTGTGCCAACTAATTTGCATAATTTTTGAACCCAATGAAGATGACTTGTTGGAATGGTTTATAAAACATCTATAATTCATGCCCTGTTAAAGAGTTGTGTGATGGTTTGTTAACTGTCCCAGCAAGCCATCATCACCAAGTTCGGGTGATAAAAGAGGCCATGGCAGAGTATGTGTGAATTGGCAGTCTGGTACCTATGAGTGCTACAGCTGATAAGGCATGTGATCATGTGAACCAGGTGTCTGGGTCAGTTCTAAACCCACGTGTTCATCTGCTATCCCACATTAAGAGCAGTTCTGTCCCTATGCAAAGCACTTTCACTTAGTTGTGGTAATAGGCAAGCTGCTCTGGAAAAAACAAGGACATGGGGTCCCTCTGGCTTTAGACAAAAGACCTTATGTTTAGGGAATTATGGTGATTAAAGCTAGTTATACTTGCTGTTAGAAAAATGGCTGAATTATCCAAAAAAAGGAGCATTACTTTGTAACCCTAAAATGTGTAACGTTTTTTCACTAAAACCAAATATTTGCACAAAAGCATTAGAAAAACAGGCTTCCTCTTTGACAGTCTGAATGAGAGAACCTTTCTTGAAATTGGTTTGTGGTTGTTTTATATTAGGTCAACAGTCAAGACTTCAGAGGTATTGTTCGAGAAGATGCAGTTCTTTATCTGTTGGAAATTCCCAAAGGTGATGTTGTAACAATTCTGGCCCAGAGCAAATATGATGGTACGAACCTGGCAGGCAATTTTTAAACGTTAATTTGATTTGATGTATTAACTTATTGTAATGCTGTTTCTGCTTTTCTATCTATGACTCAGGGTAGTTGTCAACATAGTATGTGGCAACCCAAAATAGTAGCGATGGACTTTTCTGTTTTGTTCTGTTTATCTCTATAGACTTTTCTTGGAAAAGTGTTTGAGTTGCAATAATTTAAAGTTTCTGATTCCTGTCTAGATGTTTAAGGCAACATTTTGTGGATTGATGACTCTTCGTATGTTTATTTGCATTCAGCCTTCAACTACCTTTTGGTGATGCTTACCTGTTTATAAGTCTTTCCCTTCTACACCCAAGATCTGTGTTTCTCAGCTCTAAAATTAAGGCTGATGAGCAAAAAGTTGGTTTTTTAAAATTCTGTATGTGGAAACCAGAAAACAAGACCCAGTTTTTGTCATTTGTAGCATTTTTCTATAGTTTTTTTTTATTGTAGTGCTTAATTACAGCTATATGCATTGCTTTTTAAATAGAAACTATAGCCATTAGAATATGTGGCATGTTGAAAATGAGAAGCAACTTCTGTGTAATTTACAGAATGAAAGTGATGGTGGTAGAGAAATATTTGGAAAATGGAAATAGGAAACTTTAACCCACAGCCTGAGTTCAGTCCATCTGGCTTCCCCATCTGTCCCCTTTCTGACTCCTGCACCCTTTCAGAAGAAATAGATGGGGCAGCTTTGATAGCTGCCTGTTCAAGGAGCACTCCTTTAGGCAATGTCTCAGTTGGCTTTGATCTTCAGTGCTTGAACTGTATGCTGAAGATTTCACTTGCCACTCGCTTTTTCCTGATAGGATGAGTGCAGGCAGTGTGAATGGAGTACAAGAGAGCAAGAATGGGGTCTGGGCAAGCACATTTGATGGAGACACACCAGCACAGGCTGTGCTCTCATCCATTCTGGGATGCTCCTCCCCAAGTGTTTGCCTGGAGCTAGTTTGACCTTTGGCCCAAAAGGAATCCCTTACCCCTATTCTAAGTGCAACTAACATCCTATCCCCAGCCCAAGAGACAGACTTGTGGACTATGATAAAACTAGATGCTGTTTCTTCCCTCAGTTTATAGAGACATAATGGCCTGTGGCAGAGGTGACTCTTTCTTCATAAGGACCCATTTTGAATGTGAAAAGGAAACTCCACAGAGCTTAGCATTCACCAGAGGGGAGGTCTTCAGAGTGGTTGATACACTCTATGATGGAAAATTGGGGCACTGGCTGGCCGTAAGAATCGAGAGTGAATTGGAAAAGGGTCTGATTCCAAATAAGAGCAGGTAAGCTACAGTTACATACTTTTAAATTTTACCTTGCATCTCTCCCCCTAATATTTCATTTCATCCCAGACTGGTGTAATTCAGATCAGGTGGGGTGTGCAGAATTGATTCTCAGGACAGGGAGCAGCTTAGGCCCCACCCCAGAATTGCATCTCTTTATTGGATTGCAAGAAGAAAAGCCTCATATTTAGAAATAATAGCCCCTTTCATCTTGAAGAGGGGGCCCACATGGTTCAAAGTGTCATGGGATTGTGCAGTTGATCTCACTCTTGATGTCCTTGCATCCTGAATGGGCATCTGGGCTATGGTGCCCCACATGTGTAGGGCCTGCTCCGGTGCGAGCTGGGATCCTGGACAGATATGGTAAGGCTTCCTTGGTCCAGATGGGCATATTGATACATAGGTATTGGGAGGAAGTCAGGAAAATTGTATGATGTTGGGGACTGTAGCCAGTGGCATGGCCCATTCAGTATATGGACTTCCAAATAATGTGCAGCGAGGACTACAGTTCTAACTTCTGATAGCCTCGACCCTCTAGTCCATGGATGGCCCTGCCTTTTCTGATGGGTTCTCTGGGTTATGCACCTCTGGGATATTTGTTATGTACATACTCCTCTCTCTCTTTGGCCCTCTCTCCCTCACCTGATTTTATTAGGAAATCCTCTTGTCCAGATAAACTGTCTCTGATCACAGGAAGCCTTCTGTCCAGACTAGAGACACCTCCCTCCCTCTCTCTCTCTCCACCCCTCTCCCTCTCCCTCTCCCTCTCCCTCTCCCTCACACACTCTGCTCAGCAGAATGTCAGCTATTTTGCTGCTCACAACATTTTTTAATATGTAATGTGATTATTTTGATGTTTAATTTTTAACCTTCTAAAATTTTCGCTTCTCTGCGGCTGGTCCAAGTAAAATTACAGTCAAAAAGTAAGACAGAGCCTGGATAGAAATGAATGGGAGAATGTTGTTGTTAAACTGGTTTCCCCTACTGTGTCAGAAAAGGAGTTTATGTTGTGGCAGAGCAGAAGGAGCAGTGTAGAACGGGGACTGGTGCATAGCATATAAGAAATGGTCCCTGTGGAGAAAGAAGGGGGTTCAGAGGTTAGCACCCATTCACAACTATACAATAAGTTATATTTTAAAATGTTTTGTTTTGGCAAACTTTAGTGGTTTTTACAAATGGACTAAATATTGTCTCTTTCAGGGCTGAACAGATGGCCAGTGTTCAGAATGCTCAGAGAGATGGCTCTAGTGATCGGGCAGACTTCTGGCGGATGCGAGGCCAACGATCTGGAATGAAGAAGAATTTAAAGAAGAGCCGTGAAGATTTGACAGCCATTGCATCTGTTAGCACTAAATTTCCAGCCTATGAACGAGTTATGCTCCGGGAGGGTGAGTGAGTGACAGCATATCAGAACTCCTTATTGATTTCCTCATTTGTAAAGGACAGCTACTGGTATTTTTTCTGACAACTATCTAATCAGTTCTGGCTTTAGGCTAACAGCAAGTGGTAAAGTCTGTCTGTGGTAATGACTATGTTTTGGACTGTCTAAAAGCATCTCAGCTGTATATGTGAACCAATTTTTCTAGAAGTGTATTTTTTAAATCTAGCAGTATTTCTGAAAATATATATATGTACATATCTACCCCAGTAACTGTTGTGAATTTCCATAATGCCCATGGAGTATGAAATGTGGAAACACATCCTGAAAACCACTGGGCAGAGCTTGTTCATAATGCTTAAATGAAAAAAGACATATTAGACATTATACGGACATAATATAGGCTTTGTCCCTGTTCTGATTGTAACAGCTAAAGTACTTTTCAAGATCTGACTGGTTCATTTATAGACTTGCTTAGTAAATATTCCTCCAAACATGTTAGTGTTCAATTATATTGCTATACATTTCCTTTTCTTGAAATGTATTGTGCAGCTGTACTTTTTTTAAATATAAGTGCTGCTTACCTGTTGTGCTGATGTTGCATGGGAAAGAATGCATCCCACCCTCTGAGATAAGAGCAGAGGATCATATGTTGATAAGGTTTGAAAATATTGAAGGTCATTTCAAGGGCATTCTTGCTTAGTTCTAACCATTACATTCAAGTTTGATTTACAAAAAATATGAATCTATTTGTGTTGGACAGAACACAACCTATATTGTTATATTAACATTAAACTCATTTAAATAGACAAGCCTTATGAATGTGAAAACACTGTACTGATAATAAATTAGAAATGCCCACCCTTTAGGTTACTCATATTCTTTTAAGCCAGGGTTGGCAGATTCTGGCCTATGGGATACAGTAAGTCAGAGAGCTTCCCGTCTGGCTTACAGCAGTCTCCATTCATGACCATCCCCTCCTTGGCTCCCTTTCCCTACTGATCGGTCCACTCCAAGCATGTTGCTGGGCATTTAAACGATTCAGTGCTCAGGCCTATAGGACACATATCTGCATAGAAATTATGCAGTTGAAAGAACTACTAGAATTACAAGAGGCAAAGCCATCAAATTAACTTCTTGTCCAAATAACCTCAAATAAATTCTTCCAATAATTTGTACTCCATCCCAGATCATCCTATACCAATTGAGCAACATTTTGGGTGTAGAGTATCAGTTTCCTTTGAGTCATGGGTGGTGGGGTGAGCGGAAGGACAGGATATAAATGCTTGTAATAATAAGTAAATAAATTGGGGAAAGCCTGAGTGAACAGATGCATTTTAAAGAGCTTTTCAAGCTCGCCTTAGTTTCCATTTCTTGACCCACACATGGGAGAGCATTCCAGAGTGTGGGCACCACTGCTAAGAAGGGCCACTTATGGGATGTTCCCTGTTGGTCATGGAATGACTGATAAGATTGCCAAAGATCTCCGGAGTCAGTTATAGATATAATTACATATACAGGGCTTTTTTTGAGCTTTTAAAGAGGTCAGTGAAACTTTGTGCCACATTGCAGGTGTTTTGCTATTCTTGTAGGAATTTTCGTAGAGTCAAACTGTGTTGATTATTTGCAGAAATTGCATTTGAATATGACAGCTACAGCTTATTAGCCACTGCCAAACCTTGTCTTAGTGGTGAGGACAAATTTATTGCGTAGGTTATTCATGGTTAATCGAATGTCTTTTCATTTTGATCATGATTACCAAGGAAACAAAATTATGTGCAACTTTCTATTTGCAGCCGGTTTTAAAAGGCCTGTGGTACTGTTTGGTCCCATTGCAGACATAGCAATGGAGAAGTTGTGCAGTGAGCTGCCCGAGCTCTATCAAGCAGCAAGTAAGTCATTCAGTGTTCCTTTCCTGTTTCTATTCTATTTCAATTATTTATTAGTCACTTTTCAGAAGCAAGTTCTCAGACAGCTCACAAGTAGATGCAACAGAATGTTAGACAATTTGTATAAGCATAAAGTGAAAAAACTTAAATAATAAACATATGTTTTTAAGGTTTAACAATGGAATTGAAGAGGCCTAGCAAATGCTTGCTGGAAAAGAATTTCACAATGGTGGGGCCACCACCAAAAAAGACCTTGTCTTGTGTACTTGCCAACTTGTATCAGTACTTTGAATTTTAGTCCAGAAACTCTTGGTAGCCAGTACAACAGGCACAAACATAGTGGCACATATTCAGATGTTCCTTCCCTCATTAGAATCTGGATGGTAATGCTTAGCACCAGTTAAAAATTCTGGTGGTCTTCAGAGAAGTAATTTAAATGAATAGTAACACAAATATATTACTTCTGCAGAAACAGAACCTAAAGATGCAGGCTCAGAGAAATCCACTGGCGTTGTACGTTTGAACACTGTGCGGCAAATTATTGAGCAGGTATGTATTCTTACCTTTTGTTTAAATACCACCATAATAAAATAAAACTTGTAGATATTGATAGTGCTATTGTGTCCTCCCACCTTCACTTCCACAAATATAACCTCCATATTACTGTCTTGCTTTTTTAATCAGGATAAACATGCTTTGTTGGATGTGACTCCCAAAGCTGTGGATCTGTTAAACTACACTCAGTGGTTCCCAATTGTAGTATTTTTCAACCCAGACAGCAGACAGGGTGTGAAAATCATGAGGCAAAGGTTGATTCCCACATCTAACAAGAGCTCACGGAAGATTTATGATCAAGCAAATAAGCTGAAAAAGACTTGTTTGCATCTTTTTACAGGTAAGTGAAAATGCCTCCTTTTTTTTGTCTTTTCCCAAAAGCATTCATAGACGTAGAGCAAGGGCGCATAACCTAAAATCAGAGTCCAAATCCAGGAATTTCAAGATGGCTCTCAGGGGTTCATTTTGAAGTTTTTGGAAGTTTTTTTCCCTATTCCAAAAGGTTGAAATGCCTCTCCTAAGGCTTAATTACCAGCAATAAAAGCTTTAAGTTCTATCATGCTGCTATTTTTAGCTTTGATCTTTTTGCCTGCCCACCAGTGGAACATGGACTCCAAGAGTTTGTTTGAAGCGGAATTCAGTCCTTGAGCTGAAAGGGGTTCTGTACTCCAAATGTAGAGTGAATTTTAGGTGGCACCACTGGAGGACATTATGTCATCATTGTACTGGACAATTTCAGCATAATTGAGTGTAACTGCTCTCCAAACCTCGCTGTAATAAATGGAATTTAAGTAGGGATTATGTCTTGCTTCTTACATGTGAATCATGCATTTCATATTTTCTGGTGACCTAGTTTCACAGAAGACCTATTTTTGCTTCTTTCCATTGTATAGGAAGTGTTCATTTGATTTCTACAGTGGGCTTTGCCCATGTTCAAATAAGCTATTTTAAAAGGCAATGAAATAGACAATGCATTCAGTTCCTCCAGATTTCCAACAGTCAGCAGAATATATAGCCATCTTTCCAAATATTTTTTTTTTTTTTTTGTAAAGGATGCTCTAAAGGCCCATTCTACTGATGTTAGGACAAGATGGTTTGAAACTAAAGGAAAGTGATTTAAAATAAAATAAAGATAAGAATTCTGGAGTAGTGGAAGAAGCTACCCTAGGGAAGTGACAGAGTGCTCTTCCCAGACATTCTGAATGTAAATGCATGGATTAAGTACCAGATACATGGCACTATTTCAGACCAAATGAGGTATATGCTTTCAGGTGCTCTTGCTCAAGCCCTAATCCAGGGGTCTCCAAGCTATTTTGCCTCCAGGGCACATTTAAAGTTTTAATAAAGTGGCACAGGCACAGTACAAAATAGCTACCCTGGGAGATATAATAGAAAGTTAAATCAGATTTAATAAGTCAGAAATTGATCATCATACATTTGCTTGATTTTTACATGGGAGCTTCATAAAACCTCCACCCCATTAAAGATTTTATTGTGTCTCTATTGTGTGCAATGAACATCACAGATCTTGTGCTTGATGTGACACAAAATATGGATCTTTGTTATTTTCACATGGAATGCCAACATCACTGTATACATTTGTGGCCACAGGGTGACATGCAATTAATTTGATGGAGACTTGGAGGAAGTCCCTGGTTAACCGCAGCAACAAGTCAAGCTAAACTGAAGCTTAAACAGTTAGGAGGGAGGAGAGGAAGCCCCACTGACAGAGATGGGAAGAGCTCTTGACTGAGGATGCAGGATTCGGAAATCACACCAATGACTCCTTAACCCCAGTGTTTAAATTGCAGGAAGGGAGCTGTGCTGTGACTGGGGTTTTGGTATTCAAAATCTTGGTGACTGCAGGAACACAGAATGGCTGGATGAATGAATATTCTTACTCAGTATTAAAGAACAGCCTCAGCTCAATACCTATAGATAGATGAGCTGGGGTGTCAGGAAAAGGAGGCAGCAGTACTCTCTGGGAAGGTTTTACCATTGTATGGAGAATGATGTCAACACTGAAGGAAGCTTCCTTACTACATCTGCAGTCTGGTTCAGTATTTTATGGGATTAAGCCCCATATACTTCAGAAGGTCCCGTTCTGAATAGACCACCAAAATTGCTCTGTCTATGCCATACATGCCCCTTTCATTCACACACAACATAAATATTCCCTCCTGCCTAGAATATGGCTATGTGTGTGGAGAGGACCTCTTAAGTTGAAGCAGTTAAGAAAACAGGAAGGAAAAAAGTCATGAGGAAATTTGGAAGGAAATAGGGGAGGGGAGAGCAATGCTGAATCGGTGAAGGAGCAGAAAATGCTGGGGAGGGAATGAGAAAAAGGCAAAAAGGAAGGAAGTGGAAATGAAAGGGGAATTTGGGAAAAGTTACCAGTGATGGACTCAGATTGTTCTGTCCTCTGCTTATGGACAGGGAGAACTACAGCAATTATCATGAAACAGCTATTAAAGAAAAGTTCCCCTGTTTTTATTCTCTCTCTGGCCCTTCCTTCCTCCCTTCTCCAGCTCTGCCTAATCAGAGCTGACAGATGGTGCTTGACGCACAGCAGTCCCTTTTCCTAACTTCCATGTGTTCAGCCTTGCTAAGCCTTAGAAAAGTAGGGAGGGAGGCCTGTTGCAGAAGGGTTCGTTATCATTATGAGCAGGGCAAGGAGGGAAGGAAGGAAGGGTGAGTGCTCTCTTGCCTCACCTGCAGCCTCCACTTTCTCTTGGCTCAGTTCGTAAAGCTCCTTTCACCTAGCTGCATACCTTGACAGCTCTGGAACGCTCCAAGCTGCAAAGCCACACTTCAAAGTCCAGTGCAAAGCCCCCAGCATGTTCGCATGGTGCAAATGGAAAGCAGGCTTTGCATGTGGTTCCAAGCTGCCACCTGCCCCTTCTTGTACAAGCTGAGAGGCAAGGTGGTGGTGACAGCAGCAGCAGCAACACAGAGGAAGTAGACAGTAGTAATTCCCCACAATATAGTCAATATTGGGCAAGCCCTTCAGACTCGGATTCTGCATTGGGAAACACTTCTGCCCACTGCTCTGTCAGTCCCACAGGAAGTGAGGAGAGAGACAGATTCCCCCTCAATACTTCTCCCAACATCTCCCCCGCCCCCCCCGCATGCCACCCAAACTTCACAGCACTGGGGAGCACCAAAAAATTGAGACGGTGCATGGGCTGTGGCTGCTGTGTAGAGGACCCCTGCACTATTGAACTGGGGGACAAGCAGGAAAGGTTTGGTCTAGCCTATTTTGGTGTTGGGTTCACATTGCAGGAGGAGATTGTCAGAGAAAATGAAATCAGTAATAAGTTACAGAGATTTGTTGCAAAATCAAGAGCCTAACTTGTGCCTGAACTAAGAATGAAAGAATACACGATACATTGTAGCGTAATTATCATAAAGACCCATAACTTACTACTAATTTCATCATCTTTAACTGAATAGGTGCTGCCCCAATGTTATGTTTTGCTCTTAGACACCAAACATCCCATTCTAGGACAGCTGGAATAACTGTGTTTGGTAGCTGGAAAGATACCCAAACATAATGAAATGCCACTGTTCACTTGAAAATGACTAAAAGCAATGCATTGAAATAAATGGGGCTAATGTTTTAAAATAATACTTTTTTTAAATCTCTGCAGCTACCATTGACTTAAATTCAGCCAATGATGGCTGGTATGGCAGTCTCAAAGATACTATTCAACAGCAGCAGAGTGAAGCAGTTTGGGTTTCAGAAGGAAAGGTATGTAGTCAAATGCTCCTCTGTGTGTGTGTGTGAGAGAGAGAGAGTGAGAGAGAGCGAGTGAGCAAACGGGTGGGAGCTGTCTCTAGTCTGGACAGAAGCTTTCCTGTGATAAGAGTTTATGTGTACAATAGGATTTCCTATTAAATCAGGCAAGGGGAATCTTGGGCCCAAGGGCCAGAAAGCTGCTGCTCCAGCTTTCCTCTGGTGACTCAACTCCATTTCCTCCAACCACCAGTTGTGTGATGGTTTTGTGGCTTTTGTGTAGTCCATTTTCTATTAGAAAAGGTTGAAATGTGTGTTCTAAGGCTTAGTTACTGGTAGTAACCACTTTAAGCTAAAATATTCTGTCATTTTATGTATTTCTGGCCCAGCCTACCAGTGTAATGTGGCCCTCAAGAACTTCTCTGAGATTGAATTTGCCCCTTGGAGTATAAGCAATTCCTCACCACTCAATCGTACAGGCAGAGAATTTTCCTATGCATAGAATGTAGAAATCCCTGAGTTTAATTTCATTAGTTGTGAAAGGTAGTTACATAGTTGGGGGAAAATCTGGCTCAAAGATTAGCAGTAGGAATCAAAACAAAACAACCTGCCAACATATTTTCTTGCTCTTAATCACTGAGTCCGGGAGAGAGGAATCCTATGGTCATTAGCATCCAGACAGCCATAGGATGTCTCCGATTTACCCTGGTGTGAGGATAGAAAAGCATTCTGACACCTTAGCTGGGAATGCATGCTTGAGTCCCCCCCACTGGATTCCCAGCTAAGGTGTCACAACTGAGCTGCACAGCTGCACTGTCACCAGTGCAGTTCTTGTCCTGCCAGCTTGAGTCACAACTGGCATGACGAGAACTGCACTGCTTGCTTCTCTAAGAAGTTGACCTCCTAGAAGGGCACTTAGGGGCATTCCTGAGGGCAGGATGGAGAGGACACCAGTACCTCAGTATCCTTCCCTTCCACTTCAAAGCACCACATTTAGATGGCCGAAATAGGCTGTTCTTCAGGGTAGGGGGAGCACAAAGGCATTCTTTGCCTCTGTACTTCTCCCTCCCTGCATAGGATACCTGCATGTCCCCGGCATTCAGATAGAGACTTATTGGACTGTGCCATTAATTGTTTGTTACATTGCACATTATCTCATATATTGAAGCTATTTCTGTTTTGTGTCTTGCTCTGTTACGTTCATGTGACAAGGGAATCATAACCTCTTCTCAAACTCTTTTATAGCTGGAAGGAATGGAGGATGACATTGAAGATCGTATGTCATACTTAACAGCCATGGGTGCTGACTATCTGAGCTGTGATAGCCGATTGATCAGTGACATGGAAGACACTGATGGAGAAGGTGGGGCATATACAGACAACGAGCTTGATGAACCTTTCTATGAGCCAACAGTCTCTTCCATTAGTCGGTCCTCTGAACCAGTGCAGCATGAGGAGGTAAGAAGTCCAGAAAAGAAAAGTATTCTCTCTCAAAACAATACATCGTGAAACAGTGACAGAAAATCCCTGACACAATGATGCCTGGACAAAAGTTTATGTCATTTTAGGACATCTGTGTACATTGTTTAACAAGCATAATGTTAGTGGAAGATTAGCGTAGGTTTATTTGCATTGACAAAAGGGGAAATTTATCTGCTTCAGCTTAACTTGCTGTGAAAAAGATTGCTAGATAGAAAATCCAGTTTTGTAGAGCCTGCAGAAAGAGTTGGTATTCTTTTTTCTCTTTGAACCATTATTTCTGAAGTACGCTGTAGGGCAGTTTATGAGAAGTGTCCTCAAAATTGCAAATTGGAAATCCATAAAGTTGACAGGCAAGCAAATATTTTCCATGAATATTGTTGGCTGAAATTAATCATACTTCATGCAAATATTGAATACAGAACCCTTGAAAGAGTAAAGTGCAAGAAAGATCTCATTTGCATAACCAAACAGTGCATGATTAACAAACCATATGTTGTTTGTGAGTATGCAGGAGCAAGTGAATTAGCTGACTCCTGATCACTCAGCTGCTCACTGATACCATTCACTGAATCGAATACTTAGGGTTGGTGAGGGAGAAACAACTCATGGTTTACGGTTATCAAGCAAAACTGGAAGCAGATGAAAGGTCAGAGCACATGTGCTCGCTCCCAATTACTCACAAACAACCCACAGTTAAGAAACCAAATCAGGTCAATGGATTTCTTAAAGCTAAGTGATTCAGCACAGGGGAATATAAATGAAAAACCTTGCCAAACAGTACTGCTGGCAAATCCATATTCTAAATTGATAAAAATGTACTCATCTTTTTTTTTTTTTTTGCTAGCGGTTGTAACTATGCCTTGCACAAGTCAAAAACAACATATATGCATGTGTAATGGGCTACTGTTACTTGTCCATAGAGTTTTAGGAAATCCAGCCCTGAACCAAGAACTCAAATGAGAAGAGCTGGTAGCAGAGAAGTTCTGAGGGACCCCAGCCCACCTCCAGCATTCAAGCCTGAACCCCCAAAGGTAATGTAAGAAGAAAATAGCTATTACTAATGACTGGCATTAGCAGTGTTTCATCATTTACTAAGAGCATGTTACGCTCCTGATGTCTTTCATTATCTCCTCTTTAGTTCCCAGCTCTAAATTTTCATCCTAGACCTAAGGAAAAGATTAGCTATGTCTTGACTGACTGTGTTTCTTTAATTAAAAAACATCAGTGTAGGCTTTACAAGATATATTAACTGGTTTCTTGTGTTTGTTCATTCCTACTCACACTTGCTTTTGTTTTATATTAACAGGGTAAAATGCAAAACAGAGAAGATCCATATGATGTCCCCAAAAATTATGAACCCAGAACAAACAGCCCTAATGCTGAAACTTCTGGAGTACCAGCTAAATTTGTTCCTCCCCCTGTAGCTGTCAAGCCTACTTTTGGCCGTCCTAAACCAAAATCCTCTCAACCAGCTGTTCCACCAGTCGAAGTGGAGGAGAAATCCGTGGAAGGTTTAGAGGAACACGGGAACACACCAAAATCAGTGCTGGGGAAAGTTAAAATATTTGAAAAAATGGACCACAAAGCAAGGCTTCAAAGAATGCAAGAACTGCAAGAAGCACAAAATGCCAGGGTATTTTGAAAAAGCACGATTCTACTCTTGTCTTGTGTACTTGTTCAGTTTTACATTATGTTGCCACTGAATTAAACTACTGTTAAAACCTAATTAAAGGTATGGGTTGGATCCTGTAATTAGAGTGCTACTCAAGTAAGGGCTAAACCAAACATGTGGGTAGTGGTGCATAGTAGAGCTATGTGTGATTGTTTTGTTTACCTTCATGAAAGTGCAAGTGGCCTTGATTCAGTTTGGGATCATGGTGCTCCAGGAAGTGGAAGTAATTTTCTTTCCCCCCTTCAAAATCTCCTCATGTCTTTATCTTTCCAATTAACACCAGCAGATATTTTTGTTTCTGTTTTTATCACTGCTACTGTGTGTGAGAATTTTCAGGAAAAACCAGCAGAGGAGGGAGATCTGATTCTGAATTATAGAGGAAGGGACTCTTACTGATTTTCCCTTGTACTCCCTGAAAATCTGGTTTAGAAACTTGAAGACTCCTCTAGAAGAGCACAGGACAACTGCAGAAAGAAGAAAATTGATTACATTCCCTTCTCCTGTGCAGCATTTTCCACTGGGTCACTTTTCTCAGAAGGACCCCTTTGGATCAGAGCCATAGGGCTTGTTCTGAACAGAAAGAAATATTCCACATTTTAGTCTTTCTCCATTAATTTTTATTGCTGGGAGCAGTGTATTAATAGCATTGTTCTCTGCTTTTTGTATGTTTCTTGAGTAGTGTAGTAATCTAAAACACAGAAATGGAATGTGCTAGCATCTCACTGTAAATAATAGTATTGTGGTTGGCCATCCATTTGCAGTTTGAAAAAAAAAAAGCTTGAAATGTTCTGATCATCTGTGTGTGTTTTTTAATAGGTGGAAATAGCTCAGAAACACCCAGACATTTATGCTGTCCCAATCAAAACACAGAAGCCAGAGCAAAACTGGTCCCAGACAGCAAGGTAATTGGTTTTGCATGTCCTTTTTATGAATTTTGTACTTTTGAATAAGGATACTGAATTTGAGAAATTATGAGTCTTCCAAGAAGAGTATGTCTCCATAAGCAAGTTGGTAGAATGTATTTGCTATTAAAATGGTACAAGTTGATCTGTGGTTTAGTTGAATTTATAATATTGCTTGCTCATTGCCAGAATTATTGCCCTCCTCTATGGTACTGATCATGCTGTGTCCTTCCTCAAATCTTGCACTGGGTTCCTAGTCATGGGTGTATCCAGAACAAACACCTTGTCCATATTATTAAAGCTGTCCACATCCTTATTCCATCCTATCTTCTAGGCCTTGTTTCTTCTTTTGTTCTTTTCTCCTCTAATTCTATTACCTTTCGCAAACACAGGTGTGCTTTTACTTAAACCACTCCACTATCTCTCCCCCCCCCCACCCGCCCATCCATAGAACAGCATCCCTGACTATGGCTGTATACAATGTTAATCCTCTTTAGTGTAGATCCATTTAGTGTAGTTGGATATAACCACATCTACTTCGTATCCCCTCCCACCTATATGCTAAGTAAATAGGCATAGAACTGAGCTGTTTGCTTAAAATATTTTCATAGACTGAAAGGGATGTAAGTGGATTAAATGCAGAATGGTTAGCTGTAAATTGAAGGCTGATTGAAATACTGTCATCCAAAAGCTGTTCCATGTTCCATTGTTCCATATGCAAGCAATGATGACTGAATGCTTTATACATAGTGCAGCTGTCCAAATTTATGCAATGTTCACATTCCTGCAAAAGCAGCCCATGTCAGGGCTGGCCCTATCATTGGGTATAGGGTGAAGCAGGTCAGCTCATGCAGCAGAAATAGCAGTGGATTATCAAAACATGTACTGTCAAATTTCTTGTGTGTGACCTTGACAGCATTAATAAAAGCAAGCAAAGAACTATTGCTAACACAGCATTTTATTCAAAATAGTGTAAAAAGACACTCTATATTTTTCCATTATGGGATGGTGGGATAACACCTTGATTTTCTTCTGTGATGTCACAAGGAAAGTATGACACCTCCATACACATGCCAAACTATGTTTATTAGGAAGAGTGTAGTAAGGATCTTCTAAATACTGGTTTTAATTTGTTTGACTTTGTTTTGAGTGAAGCGCAACCATGGGGAAAAGCGTCTTGGCAGTGCTGATAATAATGGTGATAAAACTTGACGCAGCCTTGAAAGTAATCATTAGGCTGTCTTTACTTTGGTTATAGACCTTCTTGGAATGCTAACTTTCTGAGCACTAGTAATGTCCATGTTCACTTAGTGTGTTTTGATGTTAGTTCTAGACTTCCAGAACCTCAGAAACAATCTGCTAGATCTTACCTAGATAAACAAGGAAGTTACGGCAGTGATGCAGAGGAGGAAGACTATCGAAAACAGCTCTCTGATCAGTCTAAACGTGGATACTATGGGCCAACATCCAGATACAGAGATACGGAATTATAGATTCATTGGCAGCCCTAGAATCATGGTTTTGAAACCACTTCCACAGCCAAAATGGAACCCTGGCTTCTTTCAAGAGTTGTATGTATATATGGGGTTACCGATAAACTCAGTAGGTTTCTACACACTGGAATGACAGAACTTCATCTAAATAAGGGAGATAATGTCTCACTGTTGCCTGAACGCTGTTGCCTATTTTGCAGGACCACCAAAAATCTATTTTAAAAGTTTGTATTGATTTCTGCAATCTATGTATTTTTAACTTTTCCACATTCAAATTGCCTTTTTAAACTATTCTTTTTATGGTGACATGATGGAAACTTGATTTTAAAAAAATACACAGCGCTTTAGTGCAAGAAAAATGAAACAAAGTGCCTTTCTAACAAAACGTGTCTTCAATTGTTCTCATCTGATGCTTGTGCAAAGCCATAATGTTTCTGTAGCCTAACTTTTGTATGTTTCATGGCTACCATTTTGCCCTTGGATGCTATTTTTCTACTTTAAATAGACCTCTGTACAATTTTTCATAAGCAATAACTGTACATGTGAAGAACTGCCTGGCTGGCTGCAACAAGGCCAGAGAACACTGAAATTGAAAAATTATGTAGAAAATGAAGTTTGTGTCTTAAACCCTTGAGTCATAGCATAATAAAGGGTTATATTCTACAAATAATTGCTGTTCTATTTATTTTTAAAAAGTTGGCTTTTGTGTTGGGTTTCTTGTTTTGTTTTCAGAGGTCAGACATTTGAACAGAATGAGGATACTTCTTCCTTTTTATATCAGTTTTCAGTATTTCATATAAATATTTTCTTGACCTCTTCAAGGGGAATATATTTAGTGGACCTCTGGAAGAATATTAGGAAATTATTGATATTGCTAAGGACCAAAAGTGCTTGTAATACAAGAGATCAACCTGGTGCAGTGCACGTTTTCATGACGTGTTAAGACCATGTATGTTTTTACTGCCAGTTTATCTCCTGTTGGATCTGGATATGAATTCCATTATTTGGAATTATTTCTCAGGAACAGAGGCAACTGTGCACCTGACCAAAAATGTGAATTCTAGCTCCCTGTCGGGAATGGTGGGGGGTCCTCACCTTTTAAAGCTCTTCTATTGCAGATGTATATGCTTCTCTTCCTGCTGCTATCTCTTAACTCAGAACACAGGTCTCTTTTTTAACGCAAAGCTCCTTGATGGGACTTTATTTTATACACGGTGCATATGGATAATGCAGACATATCATTAGTTTACAATATGCTGCTGTTCATCATACATCAGTTATAGTGTGACTACAATAATTTGTGTTCTTTTTCTCAGCTGGTAGACACACATCCTTATCCTCCATTCCTGTGTATCCTTATTAAGGTCTTGTTTATCTATTACATGTCTTCAGACAACAGCTGAAGCTCTCTGGGCAGTTCACAGCAATTTAAAACACACCATATAAAATACAGTATAAAAATTAAAAAATTTAAGTCTACATTATCAAATGAGAAGTTCATTCTGTAGTCAGGGCATCACAACATAAAAGGTTTCCTTTCAAGTAGCCACCCATCTGGCTTCCCTTTGCAGGCTCCACCTCAGAAGGAGGATGATGAGCAGGTATATATATGGAAGGAGAAAGATGCTTCAGGTAACTTGATCCCAAACCATTTAGGGTTGTGAATGCAATATTAGCACTTTGAATTGGGCCCAGATATGGACTTGGCAAGCCAGTGCTTATGGTAGAGTACTGGCCTAAGATGATCACACTGGCCAGTCCCCATTAATAATCTTGCTGCCCCTGTTACGGACCAGCTAGGTAGCCTTATGTGTAAGACTGCAATAATCCAGCCAAAAGATAACCAGAGAATAGAGCTATCCCAGTTCAGGTAAGAGTGTGGTTGGTATAATTCTAAGCTGATAAAAGGTACAAAGCAATGATCCCCCAGCCCCACTTTCTGGAATCAAACATCCTAGTAGGAGCCAAATCACTGCAGTGTGGTGCCTCCAACGCCTAGTCCAGAAAACCTATCCAGAATGGTTATCCACAGCTCTGAGATAGAGGTTGAAAGATTTATTTATTGTACCACAGAATTCATCTGTGCCTCTAGAGAGAGTGCTTGGACCCAGGAGCACTCCCAAATGATGAACCTGATCCTTTCGAGGAGTGCAACCTCCTCCCGAACAGTTTGATTATCATTCATCTGGGCAGATGAACTATCTAGTAATAGTACATCAGTCTTTTCTGGACTGAGTCTGTTTATTGGACCTCATCCAGTCCATTACCATGCAGACAGTAATATGAAACAACCTCTGCCTCACTCGAATTTGATGAAAAGGCAAGATGGAACTGGGTGTCAACTGCATATTGATGTCTCAGCCTCCATCTTCAGATAACTTTTCACAGTAGCTTCATGTAGATGGTAAACAGCATGGGGGATAAAACTGGGCCTCCTGGAACCCCGTAACAAAACTGCCAAGGCACAAAACAATGATTTCCCCCAGCACTACTTTCTGGAATCAACCATTCCAATAGGAGCAGATCCACTGCAATGTAATTCCTCAAACTCGCAGACCAGAAAGCCTATCCAGAACAGTTATCCCCAGCTCTGAGATGGAGGTTGGAAGATTTTTTTTTATTATTATTATTATTGTTCAGGCACCTGGACAGTTTACTACTGAGTAGATTGTGTGTGTCAGTGCTTGGCCTACAGGTGACCTCAGCTGAGTCATTCACACTGAAAATTGAAGGTTTCTGTCTCCTGCACCCAGGTAAGATGGAATCAATATCGTTTGACTTGGCTACTCCAGGCTGAACATCACAGACAGGCATTTTCTCTCATGCATTTTATTGTAACATTTTAAGGAATGGGGAGGAATGTATGAGTTTGGTACTTGACATTGCAGCCTGCCCACAAAATGTTCTATTGCAATAATGCAATTATTTTCACACTGTTTAAGAACATACTTAAGATATAACAGGTGTTCTTCATATCCAAGCAGCAGGACTTCAGCTGGTACCAAGAGAAGGCATCTTCTTTTTCATTTTCTTTTTGTAGATAAATGTACTGACTAAAATCTAAAGTGAAAGATAATACCGCTGAAGTAATTCTAACACTTTACAGGAAGCCTGGCACTGGTAAACAATAAACTGTTGGCATCACTGCACTGCTTGTCCTTAATTTCTGATGATAATCGGACTATGTGAATAAACTTTAATATGCTTGTGAAAATGATCAGTGAACTTAATGTCAGGTTAAGTTCTCGGATTTCACCATTAATCATACAGGTGAGTGAAGGGCTATACCTGCTTCTATCTATTTGCACATGAGCAAGGACCTTACTGCAGAATTTTTTTCAGTTCTCTTTCTGAACATTGTCAGATAACTGCACAAGATAATCACTTGGCAGTGTTTCCTCAAAAGCTTTGATTCTCCCACCTCAGGTTTAATTACAATGTAATTTAGGAATAGTCATGCATGTGACACCTTATACAGGCCTGTAATTATATGAGTCCCAATTAAAGAATTTTAAAACTTAACTTTCACAGTTGCTTTTTTGAACAAGGATAACAAAACTCTTAAGAGCAATGTAATTAATGGCTATAGCCTTTTGGATAAGGAAGAGAGTGTCTTTTAAAGCACAACTGCCCTCCTGTTGCTATCACTTGGCATACAGTAAAATGTGTTTTTGTCATTAAAATGGTATTGGTGATTTTTGATAGGTGATAGTTCACTTTCATACATTACCACTTAATGCATGAAGATGCATGTGTGAGCTAGCCCTTGGATCTTGTTTGTACAATGTCTATTTACTTGGTTTTAGTCTCTTTACAGCTATGATGTAAGTTGCACATAAGGGCTGTAACCCAACACTTTCTGAAGTGAAAATTCTGGACATTTACACAAGCAATTGTGCAGTGCTCTTTTGATCTTATTGGAACACACACAGCAACACACTTGTTTTCAAATTGATTACAGTATTTGTTTGATAGTACTTTCCTAATACAATGATTTTGTATTTTACCATCTATGAAATAGCTTTGAGTCTTGAGTTATGGTTGGCCATGGTATCTTTTCTTAATCAGAGAAACTGTGGCTGTCCATCTACTGGAAGTTTGATGGCTATGATCATTTCCCCTGTGTGGGACATGCACCAAATGAGACATATAATCACAAAGAAAATACATGGGCACTTCCTCTCCTCCCCCCTTCAAGCAATAATATTTTAGGAAATATGTCTTTTGAAAACAGGGATCCTTGTAGGGGCAGGTCAAGTACCCTGGCTGCCATATCCTACAAAGCAGCCTTTTACAGAACACAAATGGAAGCTGCAATGGAATGTTGCAGGGTAGCCCCATACCATAGTGGGTTATGTTCCTGTTCATGACTCCAGAAAATCTAGAAGAACGTCTTGTAATGCTGTCTGATACGGGCTGGGGGTGAGACTTTCAGGAACCGGGAAAGGATTATGAAGACCTTCCACAGCTACAGCTGAGATTGGAAAAGCACCCCTCCCTTCTGAATGCTTAAGATGTCAGGGACTTGAGCAAGTCAATTCCTCCCCCTACTGCCTTTGTGTTCAACCACAATAAACATGCCATATACTTGATTAATAGTCCTGCACATTCTGCCTGACATGGTTTGTTTTTTGGTTGGGGAGCGAAGCTCTACTTTTCCTTGCACCCTGGGTTCTCTTGCCATCCATATTATATAAGCTAACAGTTGCCTCTCAGTGTTTTAAAGGTTTAATGTAAAAATAAAGAGAGTTCTGCATACCTAATGCAACCTCTGAGTATGCAGAAGTCACTATTTGGGGGAGAGGGTGGCTATGTTTGAATTCCAGAATGGTGGGAACTGTAGACCCCGAGTCTGCTATGAAAGAAAAGCTGCATCCTTTTCCCCTGACAGGAGCCTACCAATCAGTCCTCTCAACCAGGATAGTTTGTGGCACAAGGGGTCAACTGAGCCAATTTACTTGCACTCCCACCCTGTACACAATTTTTTTGTTCCAACCAACCCCCAACAATCTATATAACAAAGTCTTACTGTACCTTAAAAACAACAAAAGCCATCAGTTCTGGCATAAGATTTCATGGACACTATTCACTTCACCAGGAGCATGAAGGGTTAACTTCACTTTGGCAGATGTATATCCTATACTTATTTGCCCCATCTTTCACTCTTGGTCCTCCACCTGTGTCCTGATGCCCTTTGCTGCAGAATCTGCCTTGTTTTTCTCCTCCCTGCTCCAATTGTATTACGTTTTCATTCACCAGAGTTTTCTTTTTCAGAGCTTCAAAATAAGGGCAATTGGGTTCATGCAATTTTTTAGAGCCGTAAAAAAACCAAACAACAAAACTAGGGGTGATGAATCAGTGATGGACATACCAACGTGTTTCTTGGGGATGAGAGGAGGGACAGTCATTGGCAGCAGTAAGGGTGAGATGCCAAAGAGTGGCAGACAGGTTTTCTGCTCTTGCCAAGTGGCTCTCTGAACAGTCTCTGCAACTCACAAGAAAATTGCTGTCCTATTTTAAGAGACTGAACAAGCCCTAGAACAAGTTATGGGTTATCAAGCTGGTTTGTTAGTGAAATATAAGCCACCTTGTAAGTAGTAGTCTGAGTTTGGATGACATAACCAATTGTAGCTAGTTAACCACAATGGATTGTTGTGTCACTACTCATTA